ATTAATCCTTAAATTCAACATGCCTCAGTTTATCAAGGGGATAGATTTGAATCTGTAAAGGATGTTTGAAGGATTTTTATGTGCAGTTGTGTTTTTTTTAACAGCAAGGGGATCACGTGTAATGCGTATTAATGCAGTTCCTTGTGGTTGAAGCTGGCAGCGAGCTCCTCAGTGGGTTTAATCCTTTGCTGGTCAGTTCCAGAATAGTGTAATCGACTGTGAGGGCAGGCAGAAAGGGAATGCAGTCGTCCAGCGCTTAATCTGTTATGTCTTTTCTGGAGACATCGGACACATACTGTCTGTAAGAAAGCAGGTTTGTGAAAGGATGAAAAGCAAGATGCACATTTCTCGCATCATCTTTTTATTACGAGTGAGGCTGCGTTGTCGAGGCTCATTTTCTCCAGCGGAAGTAACTGCAGGGTAGCTAGCGAGAGAAAAGGCGTTCGGCTCACGTCAATTCATGTGCTGCAAATGGGTCTCTTGTGGGAAACGACACTAGCAAAGTGACTTTCTGGGATTTGAAAGCACCTTTCTTACGTCAGTGACCTCGCTTTCCCTCCCCCGCCCTCCAAAACATCATGTTGACATGTTGATACTGTTCTGTGTAGTTTTCCGTTTCTGCGTTTGCCAGATTCTCAGCCGCACGACCGAGCGGGGTCGTGGCTACACACCAGTTTTCACGTCTGCGCCCCATCAGCTGACAGGAGCCCGCTTGTTAATGAAATTAAAATACTGTTCGATGATCATTCTTGGTTCCATCCTCCCATATTCTAACCTCTTACTCCTCTTGCTTATATTATTCAGATTGCATAAAAAATCTGTTTGCTTCGGATGCAGCCAGCTTGCCCTTTTTTTATTTTTTATTTTGCTTTCTGAGAAATCTTTTGAAGTCCCTCCTCGCCAGTCCCCCCTGCCGTGGCGCCCGGAGGGACGGGGAGTCAGAGCGGCAGACGCGTCCCGCCCGCCGGAAAGCCTGCCACTTTCGCCGGCATGACGCAACCGTCTCGGGGGCCGGGGTACGGCACGCGGTTGTGATTGGCCCGGTTAATTGACGTCATAATGACGTCGGAGGGGGAGAAAGCCGACGCTGCGGACCAATGGGAGTGCGCCATGGCCTAGCGTGCCCCAGAGTGGGAGGAGCTTACACATCGGCCCTACATACCATGTGCCGGCCGGCCCTCTTGCCGGCATTTCAGAGCAGAGTTCCGGTGCAGGAGGCAGAGTAGGGCTGCTTCTAAGTTATTTATTTATTCACTTATTTATTGTTAGCGGAGTAATATGCTGTGCCTGTGCCTCTACGTGCCTCTTCCTAACTCGGATCAAACCGAATTCGAGTACTTTGAGTCAAACGGACTACCGTCGGAGCTGAAGTCCCTGTTCAAGCTGAGCTTGTTCCTCCCGTCTCAGGAGTTCACCACCTATCGAAAGTGGCGGCAGGTGAGCTGGGGGTGGTTCTGGGTCCAGGGTTAATATTACCTGCAGGCTTGGTCCTGCTTGTGCGGGACGGGTTTCGAGTTCACGGGACACGAACACGGGTGATATTGGGTCGAAGTGGTTATGTCTTGTTTCGGGAAATGAGCGGAACCCACTAAACTGGGATTGCGAAACGATTCGGGTTTTTTTTCCCTTTTTGCGATCAGCGTTGGTGTATTTGATTCCTTGGTTTTTAGATTCTTACTGTTGCGGCCGTTTTCGATATTGTACCTCTCTAGACGAGTACAGTACGCAGTTATGTCCCCTCGATAGCGGGAAGACATTCAGTTGTTCAGCTTTGTAAAAAAAAAACCTGTTTCCGCTTGCTGGGAAAGAGCGGTTTCCTGCTCGTTTGGCAGATGGCAGTATCGGTTTTGTTGAAGGCTGTGAAGGGCCGGAGTCGCGAAATCGTGTTTTCTGTGAATGGGGAGATGGATGTCTTCCGACACGGGTCCTGTTCCCAGCAGACCGCTCAGTGTGTATCGCCTTGGGACATCTAGGACAATCAAAAACTGCAAGAGGCAGCTTCATTCATTTTCAGTCATGACGTCTCTTGCCTTTTTTTTTATTAATAACCCGTGTAAAAGAATGCTTGACCTGTTTTTAACCGCCGGTAGACTAACCTGAAGTCTTATCGCCTTATCTTTGCCCTCTGCTAGAGCTGCGACGTGGCTTATAGACGGGGCGAATATTGTCTCGCTATAAAATCATCATTTAAAACCAGTTCTAATTGCTGTGTATCCCTGGGACGTGATAAAACGGTATGGTTCTTTGTCATAAAAAATAAGAAGTACTCGTGTTGTAGGAATGCTTCCTTTGATAGAAAAATAAATCGTTTTTCAGTGTTGTACAGTAGTGCTATTTAAAGGTGCCGGGGAACTACACTAGCTACTGCCAAATCTCTGTAAAGACAGCTATGTGAAACGGGAATATCCAATATTAAAATTGAGCATCAGTCAGGCGCAGTGTGGAGAGGTGACACTGCAGGCTGAGGACCTTTACTGATGTGTTCAGCTTTGCGCCTGGACTTTGGCAGTGAGACGGAGTCCCTGCCTATATCTCACAGAAATTACAAAAGAGCGGAATTTGGCACTTGAGCTCCTCAGCCCAGCCAAGTCTTGTCGATTTTGGAACCGACGGTCATGCAATTCAAATCTGTAGCAGGCGGCGCAGTGGTAGGCATGGCTACCTCACAGCGCTGGGGCCCTGGGTTCAATTCCTGGGGCGCTGTCTGTGTGGAGTCTGTCTGTCCCCCCCCACAGTCCAAAGACACGCTGGTAGTTTAATTGTCACCTGGGGAAGTCACCCCTGGTGTGAGTGTGTGTGTCCTGTCTTGTGCCCGCTGCCGGTGCCCAGCTCTCCTGTAGCCCTATACTGGGTGACGTGGTCAGAAGATGGGTGGATAAAATACAAAGCTACTGACCAGCGTGAGACAAGCAGCAAAACAAACAAGGAGCAAATACTGCCAGCTAACGCATGAAACACGCCTGAGCTCTTTCTCACTGCTGACGGGGGGGGTGTCCCATTCCAGATGGGATTAAGGGACCCCTCGTCCAGCGAGCCCGCCTCCTCTTTACTGTGCAGGTCTTCTGCCTTCGGTCATGACAGCTCCGCGCGTGAAACAACGCTTACTTCCCGCTTTCTTGGTTCCTGGGAATGCAGAACACGGCAGAATTGTTCGGCTGCCAAGGGGCCCCCAGTTTGCAGGTGTTGGGGAGAGCCGAGAGCACGCCACTGACCCGCGGGTTCTCGCTGTTAGACGCGCAGACGGACAGTTGGCGGCCTTCCACATCCAGCTTGGCTTTCACGCTGGACGTGGAAGGCTATAAATTGCCTGTACTGTATGACCTGGCAGGCTCGGCGGTGTTGCTGCACGCTGGCAGGGCATCAGGATTCGTGTCGCAGGCGGCAGCAGCGGCGCTGTCGGGGGCCCGGGGCAGTCTGTGCGCCACAGATTTCGTCCTCGCCCCCGTTCGTGCCTGGGTTTCCCCTCGCTCTCCCAGGCGGCTCCGAACAAGGGGCCGTTTGTCCTGGAAGAAAGAGAATCTCGCCGGGGGGCGCAGTGGGGGGGTCTGGGACGGTGTGGGGGCGTGCCCGGGGACAGCGGAGCGAATAACTGGAGAGGTTTACTGTTCTGTTTCTGCTGCTAACCTGTGGAGCCCCGTGAAGTCGCAGTAGGCTTGGGAATTAAGAACAATTCACCTCGAAACCCAGTGCAGCCGCATGAATAGATTGCTATTGAACCTGCTGTGTCAGATGCTGGGGCTTTGTGGTGTGAGAAGGGCCAAGACCCCATGACTGGCTACAGTATCAGGTGATGCACCAGAGCACTCCTGTGCTTCTGTGGCCTTCCGTTCGAAATCTCCTGTTACTACCCTGACATTCGTTACAGGGCTGTTCTAATTAAGGACGTGTTGGTTGTGTAGTACAAAGGCCAGCAGGATGTCGGCTAGCTGGAGGTCTCGGAAAAACACTTGGTTCCCACCCTCTGAGTCATGACTCATTTACATGTGTTTTCCTCGTTCCGTTTCTTGGGAAATGTATGGGAGAAGGCCATGAAACACATGCCAGAGATAACGCGGTCCATAAGTTGATGATTGGAGAGATAAGCGAGAAAAGGAACTGGTCACTCAGCCCTATCGCGTTCTGCGCTGGCCTCTGCCTGTTTCATCCGGGCGAAGGGCTCGTTCATGCGGGTCACATGCCTGTCCTTGCTCAGTGGCCTGCGTGTGTTTCTGCCGTGGAACACTGCCCGAAGCGCTCCAGGAAGTGGGAACCTGCCCTTTCCACCCTCCTGGCTGGACAATCCGGTTTTATCTTGTACCCGATACCTTCCTTTCGGATGAGCAAACAACCCAACTAGGTGGTGGAAAGAGCATCCGATCGGCCACCTCTGTGGTGTCTCTCGCTGAGCCGAGAGCAGCTGCCTTTTCCGGTGGTGGCCCCTCGCTGACCCCCTTTCCTTGCCTTTTCCTAAGTTTCGTTCGTTTGGGTTTCAGAAAATTGTGAAGGCCGGGGACAAGGACCTGGATGGCCAGCTGGACTTCGAAGAGTTTGTCCACTACCTCCGCGACCACGAGAAGAAGCTGCGGCTCGTCTTCAAGAGCCTGGACAGGAAGAACGATGGTAAAGCACGCCTGTGTTGAATGCACAATAAGCAGGCGGAGATTTATAGTGTTTCCCTTTTACATTTTCCTTTTAAGATCCATTTATCTTGATCTAACTGAAAATCGATGAACGATTTCAGAGACTGTTTTTGTGGTGGTTGTACAGACAGTACTAGGCTCTTTCACGCAGTGTGAACTTGTATTATTGTGATATTTCGTGTTGCCCGTCTCTCTGACTCTCCTCCCTCCCCGCGCAGGTCGAATTGATGCACAGGAGATTATGCAGTCGCTGCGTGACCTGGGCGTGCACATCTCCGAGCAACAGGCGGAGAAGATCCTGAAGAGGTGAGGCAGGGCAGGGTTTTTCCTGTGCTGGCTGCAGGTGTCGGCCTGCTCTCGGTTTCTCTTGTAAATCAGCTCTGTGTGTGTCCTGCTGTCTCTTCTCGCTCCCTGCGCTGGATAGGTTCCTAATCTGCCTCACTAATGCCTGGCTGGTTTCAGCTCACGGTAAAGCCCAGTCATCTTAATATAATATAAATGTTACTGGTAACAAAATGGTCTTTCTAAGCTTAATCCAAAATCATATCCTTAAGTAATTTTGGAAGGCCTTGATGTGACATGATAATTGTTAATCTATCCTGGGTTTAGGAGGAATTATCCTCTCTTTATTACACTATAGTGTGTGTTTTCCGATAGACAGAACAACTTTTTTCACATTTGTTCATTTGCTTATTATTTTCCTTTTTAGAATTATTTCCCAAACCGAAAGTTTCAAACTATTTTCAGATTCCTTGGGTTAGTTTACTCCTATTCAAGGGAGAGCACCTCGATGGTTAGACTGTGTGTGTGCATGAAATGGCTTGTCTACAGTCCTGTGCCTCTGCAATGTGTCTTCACTTCTCCTTCTTGCTGTCTCGTTTGTCTCAGAATAAGGAAGGGTCAAAACTGGGCCCCTATAACTTAGTAAGTAAGAGATGTGCTTCCTGACCATGTGCTTGGCTTGGCCGTCTCGTTTCATTTCAAGCAACAGCTGTTAAAGTCCAGCAGTCAGTTTGGTTAATTCCCTTAGCCCCCCACTTAGTCCTGAATTTTGTTATTTTGGAAATCCATTTTGCTTTCATCAAAAAGTCCCTGGGCAGCACATGTCATGCACAGCCGGGCATCGCAGTATTGGCAATTTTTGTTTAAAGCATGTGGCCCAGTGTCCCTTCGCAGCACCTTTTACAGATCTCTTACTGTAAAAATATTCATGTGAGCCCTGTTCTCCCCCGCAGCATGGACAAGAACGGGACAATGACCATTGACTGGAATGAGTGGAGAGATTATCACCTGTTGCACCCAGCTGATAATATTCCCGAAATCATTCTGTACTGGAAGCACTCCACGGTGAGTACAGACTGCATGTTCTCTACTCTTTTCCTTCGGAGCTTCCCTGTTCCCTGTCACTCCTTCTGGACCATGAGGCCCTGATAGCATTAGACTTACCTCTTAAGCCTGATTACACTGCGTACATATAACTGGCTTCAGGTCAGGTGAGACTTACAAGCTAAATGTGCTCTTGGACGGTCTCCTCTGAGTGACATTGCTAATGCCATCACCGCGCACTGACATCATCAAGTTTACAAACAAGAGAAGACCCTTCATGCCAAGTAGCTTGATAGATTTGCCATTAGCTGCTAGCTGGTTTGAGGATCTCATGCCATGAGAGTTAAAGGGTTGTCTAGTCCCAAGTATAGGTTTGTTGAGTCTGAAGTTGAAGTTGCTGCTTAGGCAGGGGTTGATGTTGTAGTTTTCTGTTTTATTTGCATGCTAAAAGTTAACCAACACCCTTGCATCAAGGGTGCCCTGGCTGCCTGAGAGGGGAATCCAGAAATATCCCTTTGCAAGAGTCACCTGGCAGAACACCCTGATTTGGAAGAGCAGTTTGTGCGACAGACGGATTAATAAATCTGGAGGCTATGAATAGGAAACAGGCCGTTACTGAGCTGTTGGCACAATCCCCTTACAAAGCCCAGGCTAAGGTCAGGGAACATTCACTCTTAAATCACTCGGACTAGACCCCAACACATGGCGCTAGGGCGGGTTATGTAATTCCTTATTAAAGAGCCATATTAAAACCAAAGGTGTCAAAACATCTCTCTTAATTCGTGCTGGGGACAGCCAGTGGCTCCTGACACTTTCAGATCACAAGGTAGGTCTAAAATTAGCCTTGGTCACATCGTGTTACTGCACTCATGTGCTGGCTGTGAGGTGTGCTTGTTCTGCAGGCTGTTGGATCTCTTGTGGGATTTGTTTTATGATGCACATTATAAGCTGTGACCTCTATAAATTAGTTACTTAAATCTTTAAGGGCATAGACGAGAAGCCTCAGGCTCGTTCTTTAACCTCAGAGTAATATGTGCCTAATTTATTGAGTATAAATATCGGTGAGAACAGCTTGACACAATTAAAAAAACTGGGACAGATGAATATCCTAATTGAAATTTGAGACGATACTTTTAATTGCTGATCTCTTTTTAAAATCCAGCTGCTTTCACTTAGCTGGTTACAGGTAGAGAACAACAGAACGTTTTTCGGTTAACTTGCATCATATTTTATGTATTTTCTCAGCAATGAAGGGGATGTTGTTTTCTGCCAGTATTGTTTGACATAATATGATCATAATTGCAGAGTCCTGTCCTGAGAAATGGACGTTTTTCACTCGGTTAGATTTTTAAAGAATAGCTTTTGGTGCTTCAATTGTTTTCTGGAAGTACCACCCCATTTAAGCACTATTCTTTTTTTTTTTTAAGTTTTGATTCCCTTTTCCTAGTTCAGATGTTTCACTTGGTTTGCCAGTGCTCTATTTGTAAGGACATCCTGTTATCTTATTTGCTTGTAAAAGAGAACCAGTGTGGCCCATGGCCGGTGCAAGGCTGGAATTAACAAGCACTTTTGAAAGAGCTTCTGAATGTCACAATTCTGTACTTCAGCCCTGGGACATTCTGCAAGAGCTGCATTCCTTATAGAAAACCCTTTCAGCGCTCAAAGCGCTCCCTTCCAGCTGTGCTCTGTAGCCGACACCCTTATTAGAAATCTGCTTTTCTGATTCACCATGGTGCATTTCCAACGCTGCGTTCGTTTTATGAAAGTTAATGTCAGCATTTCAGTCCCTGTCGAGTTAAAGGAGGTTTTATTCTTGGTGTCATTATTTTTAGCTTTAATCTTCAATTCTGGTCAGAAGTGTGACCCCCTGTACTGACAGGCCTCGGGATATTAATCTGTATTTCCAAAACGTGCTCGGAGGAGCGTGGGTCTCTTTCCTTGGGTCGTAAGGCTGGTCCTACTCCACAGCACCCGCTCACGGAAAGGGAGTTTCTGACATGCAGGCGACTTTTCTCTTTTCCTTATCTGACCCCCTCGGCCCTTTTGCTTTCCCAGATATTCGATGTGGGCGAGAGCCTGATGGTGCCGGACGAGTTCACGGCGGAGGAGAGGAACACGGGGATGTGGTGGCGCCACCTAGTGGCGGGCGGAGGAGCAGGCGCGGTGTCCAGGACCTGCACAGCCCCTCTGGATCGGCTCAAAGTGCTCATGCAGGTAGGAAGCCGCTCGGCCACAGCGACAGGCGTTTCTGTAGACGTCCGCGGTTTCCTGGACTGGTCGTTGCTGGTTGCGTTGTGTACATGAGCGTTTTTGTTGCCAGTGCATCCAGATAGGCCTGTTGGGATGTGCAGTTTGTGCACTTTGTGTCTGTTTTTCATTGCAACACCACCAGACATGGCTCCGTCATCCACTTGGGGCCCTTTATATAGGAAGACCTGGGACTGTGAGGGGAAGTGTGAGGTCTAGGAGAAGAAGCATAGTCTGGCGCTACAGCTGTGCGTCGCGATGAGGCCGGCTGGAAAAATAAATCCAATTCCAAAAATAAAAGGAGATGGACTATGGAAGTACACCAGTTATGCAATTCATGGGAGCTAAAAAATAGCTTCGCTCTCTGCTCCCGGGTCGCAATGCTCTAGTGTTGCAATGGCGGTTTCCCAACAGCAGTAAATGAGTTAATGAGTAAACGTGCCAGCGGCGGGTTCGGGAGTCCACGCACCCTGTGTTCAAGAGGCCGCCGCCGCCGCTGGGATGAGCTCGGAGCTCCCGAGCCAATCGCGAGCTACAAACGCCAGCGCACCTGTGGCTCCGGCTGGGGGCAGGTCCTCCGTCCCGGCGGCCGACGTCAGATCTGTTTGTCCAAAGCTGTTCTCAGTGGGCCGTGGAAAGTAGGGCAGTATCACCGAATTGTTTTTTACACTTTGCCCCCCCTAGCAAATAAGTAAAGTGCACTGGCTGACCAGATAGATCCCCATTTTTGGTAAAATGGTTATCTTAAAAAAAAAAAAAAAAAAAAAGGTTCACGCAAATTCTGGAACTGCTGTTTACATTCGTTTATTTAAAAAGTTATTTTTTTACTTGTTGACATCTTGAGCAGTGCGGGTGTAGTAAAGATAATGAAGGCCGTTCTTCTCCTCATCAGTGCCTCTCTGTTCTCCATCATCATCATCATCACCATCGTGCTCTGTGTGGTCTGCAGGTTCACGGGTCCCGGGCGAACAACATGTGCATCGTGGGAGGATTTACGCAGATGATCCGCGAGGGCGGGATGCGTTCCCTGTGGCGAGGAAATGGCATCAATGTCATCAAAATCGCTCCCGAGTCGGCCATCAAGTTCATGGCGTACGAGCAGGTGGGTCACGAGAGCCTCGCTCCGCGGTCCCCTCCGTGACGCTGGCGTGCACGTTCAGATGTCTGATGAGCGCCGCGGAAGAGACCGCCTCAACGATTGCTTCCCTGGTTGCAGATCAAGCGCTTGATGGGCAGCAGCCAGAACTCGCTGGGGATCCTGGAAAGACTCGTCGCCGGCTCCCTTGCAGGAGCGATTGCACAGAGCAGCATCTATCCTATGGAGGTGAGAACTGTGCCTGCTGTCGGGGTCACCTGGGAGTCTGGGATCAGGATTTCCAGCTTGGGGGTGGCAGTGGAAGAAGTGTAATATGGAAACTGAATGCAGATTGTTTTTAAACAATCATACTTTGAGTGTGGTTACTGTTCCAACATTTAATGCAACATCTTCTTGAGTTTCATTAAAAAGAACTAAAAATGCAAGAGGTGATTTCTGATTCTCATGGTATGGAACAGCAGCTGCTCCGCAGCACTGCCCAGGGCCTCAGTGTTGACCTGTCGCTCGTCTGCCCAGGTCCTGAAGACCAGACTGGCGCTGCGCAAGACGGGACAGTACTCGGGCATGGCGGACTGCGCCAAGCACATCTTCAAGAAGGAGGGGCTGGCTGCCTTCTACAAGGGCTACGTTCCCAACATGCTGGGGATCATCCCCTACGCTGGCATCGACCTGGCGGTGTACGAGGTGAGTGGACAGGAAGCTCGGAAGAGCCTGAATTTCCAGTGCCGGCAGCACGGCAGAGGCTCTTTATTGTGCTCATGCGTGCAAGCCCTGAGCAAGTCACACCCAAATGTTGTATCACACTTGCAAATGGGAAGCACGGCAGGCCTTTCCGTGTGCAGATCTCATTTCATAATACTCCCCGCAAGTCTCGCTGAGGTGATCGCCGGTTTCTCGTCTTCTCCAGACGCTGAAGAACTCCTGGCTGCAGCGGTACGCCACCGACAGCGCTGACCCTGGCGTGTTCGTCCTCCTGGCCTGCGGGACGATGTCCAGCACGTGCGGCCAGCTGGCCAGCTACCCTCTTGCACTGGTCCGGACCCGGATGCAGGCGCAAGGTGAGAGAGAGGAGGCGGCAACTCCCGCGGTCCCCATGGCGATGTCCGCTAGGTTTTTTTTTTTTGCTCAGCTCACCTTCTGTCCTGTTCATTTAACTCTGTGGCACATTTGTCACTTCTCCAAAGACTTGTTGAATTCCCAACTGTATAGTACAAGATAGTATAGCATGCATGTGCAGAGCAGTAACTGCAGCAAGGCGAAGGAATGGCAGGGTGTCGGCTCTTGTCCTCATGTTCCTCTTCCTTCCTCTCCAGCCAGTGTAGAGGGAGCCCCTCAGATGTCCATGACGGGGCTGTTCAGACACATCCTGCGGACCGAGGGGGCGTCGGGGCTGTACAGGGGGCTGGCGCCCAACTTCATGAAGGTCATCCCGGCCGTCAGCATCAGCTACGTGGTGTACGAGAACCTGAAAGTGACTCTGGGGGTGCAGTCCCGGTGAGAGGGCAGGCGGGGGCGCAGGAGGGACCCAGAGAACAAGAGACTGCAGAATCTCTGGTCGAGAGGCCCGGGGTTGCCCGATCATCTCATTCTGTGAATGTCTGAAAACACTAGGAACTGGAAAGCTACCGATCGATAGCGCCGCTGTGACACTGTGAAACCGTTGGACACTTGGAAGGTTCTCAGTTCAGTTTTTTTTTAATCCCAGAGGGACATTTCCAAGCAGTAGTTGCCTTTTAAGTTTCAGAACCCCCTCCCCCCCCCACCCCCACCCCAAAACAGATCAGTCGTCGGACACGCGCAGCGCAGCTCAGCGCTTGTGATCTGTTTGGGAATGAGGACGCCTCATCTCCCTCTGGGGTCCACGATACCTTCTGTACTCCACTGCTGTAGCAGGTCAGTGTTGCCCTGCGTCCCCTGAGCGGAGCACCTCGACGCAGAAGAGCCTGTACAGTATTAGAAAACCTTCTCACCTCTTCCCTTCCTGCTGTTCTAACTGCATCCTCGCTGTCGGGTCTGGCAGGAAAGGGACTGTGCCTGCTTATCTGCATGGCTTTAAAGAAAACTGCCACCAAACACACACACCTGATTGAAGGGCTCTTTTTAACTTATTTAAATCACCCGTGTACCTGTTATTTTTTTAATGTACATTTTTAGTTCGTTTTTTTTTTTCAGGATAACGCATTCTTATATATGTCCGATGAATTTGGTCTAAATTGTCACCTGCTGTTTACATTAGTTTGTTTTTTTATTTGCTTTCCAAAATGTGTAATTTGAACTGATTTGTTTGTCTCCCAACCCAGAAAAAAAGGAACCAAACCTGTATACGTGCTGGGGGAGGTTACTTCTGTTGATTTAGTCTCTAAAACAGTGTGGATGGGGAATCCGTAGTGTCTTAACTGTCTGCTTTTGTCTAGCAGAATGAATGAAGAGAGGGGTGATGAAGCAGTGGAATAATTTATTTTTGTATGTATCTTACAGTGCTAACCAGATATTTATTTTAAAATGGCCTGTTAAAAAAAATGTTATAAATTGTATGTTGTAAGGAGTTTGCATGTTTAAAAAGACAAATCAGCATTTCATTTCAAGTGGGTTGTCTTTGCTTATGCCCTCAGGAGCAAATATGCTTTATTGGACCTTCCTGACTGCAGTGTTAGTCTGATTGTAATCTTAGTCTTTGCAAAATTGACAGTTCCAGCAAGTTGCCTGATTGGGCAGGGGTGTCTGAAAGGAAACCTCAGTGTCTGCAAGGGAGCTCAAGAAATCAAAATTACAGGGGCTGCCAGTCTTAGCTTTAATTGATTATATTGAAAAATAATTTGGATAATTTTCCTCTGCATTGTTGTGGGGGGAAAATCGCACTGTTACAGAAATCTGCTCTATAATGAGATGTTGCAAACCTGTGAAAGGAGGTGTGATCCATCCATATTGACTGAGGAATATTTGAGTCCCAGAGCACTGCTTTCCACCTGCTTCCGAATAACTAAATATTCTGCTTCACACTCGAGCACTTTAAAATGCTTTAACCACAGGTGAATGTTTCTTGTACTTGGAAAGACAAAAAGGCGGCCGTTGGAATATGTCACAGGTGTGATTTTTTTGTAGCATTAAAATTGTTTGGTAGGGAGTTTAATCTGTAGTCCTAGAAATATTAAGATACACAATAGTCTGATGCTTCTAAAAGTGTAAGGGGGTGAAAAAGAATTGTACAAGAGGGATAATTATGGTTCAGTGTTTTTGGCACTCCTGTTATGCTGTCGAACCAAAACTGCCTTGTTTTGTCCATCTGCACCTCAATGCCGAACCCGCACGCTGTTCAGAAAGAGAAAACGGAACTTGCCTTACTCCCGATGTACGGAAAGCAGATGAGTGCTAGGCTCTGTGGGACTCGGCGGCTCCTCTCCGCTGTCGGCACAGAAAAAGGAGGCTGTTCGGGTCTCGGAGTAACCGTCTCGAACTCGGTAATGTTTCTGAGTGGCAGCCCCTTTCTTTTTTTTCCCCGTCTTGAGGTCCTCCAATTTTGCGACGGCTCAGGTAGCCGAGAACAGAAGCTGCCCGAGGGTCACGCGTGGGCGGAGTGAACGTGCACAAGGCCGAGAGAGAGGGACACGTGCCTTCTAAGAATGTGGCGTGAAACACATGACCTCCTTGCGCAGTTCAGTCAATGTGTTCCCATACTAAGATTTGCACAGTGGCTGCAGAGTGATGCCCCAGGGGCCCTGTTAGTCTATTCCACTTCAGTATGTAGAGAATATATATTTCTTCTCATGTCCTCCAGATCGATTGCCGCTTTTGGAATCTCGCAACTGCTCTTTCGGTGTATTCCAACAGCCCGACAAGATGATGTGAATTTGACGTGTATTATATAGCATCTTCCGTGGTCCAGAAGTCTTTTTCTAAAGCTGGGAGTGTCTCCTTCAAATCTGAAGCCTCCCTTGCTCCTGCATCCATGTCCCGCTGTGAGAGGCGCTGTGCCGTTTCTGTGCGTGCGACTCATGCCAGTGCTCGCTGAAATATTGACGTGATGCAAAGATCAATGCAAGATATTTGTTTCAAACGATACTAATTTTGTCCTTTGTAGAGTACGAGCGAATTAATGAATGTAATGCAAATGTATTTATGTTAAAAGGGGGAACAAGTGTCAAATAAAGTTCTTCTCTTAGACGAATTTTATTGTGCTGATCTCAACTTTTTTATTAGATTTTTCTGCCTCCCTGAGTGAAGTAAAACTGGAGTCTGGCAGTTTTTATACTATGCATAAAAAGGGTGTCTTCAAATCTCAGCTGTATTAGTTTTACTTGGCGCTGATAACAGCAGTAAGCTCTAGTGGAAATTCTTAAGGCTTGTAACATCCATACACTGTCTCTCAATTCTCAGACAAGCGAACAGGGTGATAAAACCTGTTTTTTACGGTGCTTAAAGTTTCATTGTCGTTAACCATCAATATTGTCAAGAAACCACGCTCCATCTTCTTACCTCATTTAAGTGAACTGTTACACATTGAAAAGCCGAGTGTAATGTGACACAGCCTATGTCGCCAATAATCTGGTTCTCAGTAACCTCAGCCGGTCACCCAGGGGACTGTTGTCAGAATGCTAATTGGGAAAGGAAGCTTACAGACGCTTTATGGAGAGGTCTTTGGCGAAAAGGGCTTCTCGATCAGACAGCCCAAATTAATCACAACCGCCATTTGCCATCGTTAGCCGCACCGACAAACTAAAAAGTGAGAAACACTCTTTCGTCGAAACGGTTTCGGGTTAGATTTGTTTTAGTTCGCCAACGCTGACTTGTGTGGCTTTGTGGGGAGGGAAGGGCAACCATGAGCTCCTTATTAATTTATGGTCGTTGCTGCGCGGTGACCGCCGCCCGGATCAGTAATGGATTACTGGGCAGCACCACCTGCGGACCGTGCTAATTGTTGGAGTCGGGGTCCCGAGCGGCCTGCTTACCGGAGTATAAATCACCTGCGGCGAGCGGGCTAAACCTGCCGCCCTCCTGCCCTGTATCTCCTCTCCTGCAGACGGGCTCTGAGGACGAGCAGTCCTCCGCCTGCGCTCTCGCTGTCGATATCGCCTTTCCGTCGGTTTGGGAGAAATAACATCGACGCGGTCAGTTGTCGGTCATTTTTATTTATTTATCGATTCTTCCTAGTGTTTTACATTCTTGAAAAGACAGTCGGCAAAGAAGAGAAGGGCTGAAGATCTGAGCGATCGAAAGAAGGATAATAATATTTCCAAGTCTAGTGAAGAACGATTGATGAATGTTGGGATTTCATCCTGATACTCATCATCAGCCGTAATAGAGCGGGGTCTTTCATAAAGTTTCCCAGCTCTGGCAGGCAAGGTCTGAATAATTCTTGCTTACTCGGCTTCTGTTTTCTTGTGCTCCCGTCCCTCCTGGGTGCCTATATGTCAAGGACGATGATGCTCAAAAGGCCATCGGAGGTGGCCACGATGCGGCGGCTGTGCAGAGACATCATTCAGTACACCTCGGCTCACGGGATCCCCAACATTTTCCGGGCGCGACACTGGTTCCGCAGGGCGCTGTGGGCTGTGTTCGTGGGCTGTGCGCTGTGCTGCGCCCTGTGGCAGTGCACCGAGATGGTCCTCAGTTTTTACAGCTACCCCTCGCACGAAAAGATCACGCTGGTCTCCGGCACCGAGCTGAGGTTCCCCGCCATCACCATCTGTAACCTGAACAGCGTCCGGTACTCCTCCCTGAAGAAGAGCTTCTCCATGAGCAGCTCCCTGCAGGTAAGCCGGACCGAGGGGCCCCGCAGGCCTGTGCCGCATGTTCCCGGGGCGCGGGGAGCGCTCTTCCTCCGCAACGGATCGAAATTTGCGGGTGCTCATTCGAACAGAAAGGCTTTACCTGTGGTCTGTGCGTTTTCGTTTTTTGTTTTTTTTTGCTGTGTTGGTGTAACGTCTCCCTTCGCCTCGACGCGACCTCTTACTCAAGGAGTGCCACTACAGGCAGGTGCTGTCGGGCCCCTAAACCAAGGTGTGGCCCCCCTCGTGTGGACGGGAGGCTCTTGGGTCCAATTAAATGAGGATTATTCTCGTACTCGACACAGAATTAACAGTAATCTATCCTGGCCCCACGAACACACGCGAAACACGTTTTGCTTAATCCGAAGTCTTAGTTCGAGGGAGAAATGAATTTCGGAGAGAACTCTTCGATGGCGTCTCCTGTTCCAGAAACCTGCAACAGGTCCGTTACCAAACGAAAACAAATTATGTTTAAATGTTAATACAAGTGGGTGTGTATTACTGGCCTTAACGTCTGGCAATAACTATTTAAAACTCCCCCGGTAGATTCAGGGCTAGGGGAGTTCAACGAAACTGCATGAGCAGACTAGAATTAACCGCCACATTTCTGCTCCAGAGAGTGAAAACAAACGCCAACTTGTCCCACTCGTAACGTTGCCTAAAGGATTCACATCCCAGAAAATTCATAGAAAAGCCTGAAAAGATCATGTCTCCCTCTTTCCTTTCATTTTACGTCTGAAGTGCAAACGCATTCGTTATGAGTGCTCTTGTCTACGCAAGACATCAACCTCCTTGTTACTCTTTTTGAACACGGTGTCTTTTTAGTTCGTTGTATAATCTTAAGGACTGTTCTACACGTTTAAGCAGTGTAGTTTTAATGACCGCAGAGAGTCAGGGTCAGTTTAACTTCTTATCCGAAGCACTGCACCTTTTTTTTTCAGTATATTGTCCCTGTCACTATACTGCGGCATTAGGACCCACATAGGCCGAAGCTTGAGCGCCCCCTGCTGGCCCCTCTAACACCTCTTCCAGCAGCAGCCTCAGCTCTCCCAGGAGTCTCCCCTCCAGGTACTGGCCAGGCTCACACTGCTGGGCTCCAGCGGGCTGCCAGCTGGGAGCTGCAGGGCCACATGGCTGCTGGCAGGTGGAGGTGCTCCCTCTGTGTAACGCCCTGCCATTCAACAGGACTCGGGGCTGGAGCAGTCTCATCGGAGGAACAGGAGCAGCTCGCTGAACGGCACTGGGTTCTGGGACTCGTCCCAGGAAACCACCAACTACGCCCGCTCCTTCAACAAGTTTGCCTCCGAGTTTAACGAGCTGTCGGACGAGGAGAAGATCGAAATGGGACACCAGCTGGAAGATATGCTCATTTACTGCAACTACCATGGGCAGGCATGCAACACCAGGTAACGGCCAGAGGGAGAGTCTCATTCTGTTCATCTCTTATATACGCATTTTACTGTTTTATATGTTTCATGTTACAATATACAGAAAGACAGAATATATGTCCAGGATGTCAGAATACAAGCAGCTAAGGAAAATATTTTTAAATCACTTTCCCTGCTCTGTCACTCTATTAAAAAGTAATACAGTATACTGTATATAATCCATTCATAATCTATCTGCTATGAAGTGATCTCTGTGACATGATTAGTAAGGTTGCAGTAGTAGTTGCTCTCTCAGAGCTCATTTAGGAAGCTGATATGTGGCATCACCATCCCATCATATCGCCATCTCAGTCCTCCTTTCTTCCAGCTTCTTTTCTGGATTCATCAACTACAAGTTTGGCAACTGTTACACCTTCAACTCGCAGAAGTCCACAGACATCCGAGGGAACCCCATCAGCAGCGAAGTGCTCAACACCACCAAGGCCGGCTTCATGCATGGTACGTGCTGCAGTATCTCTGTGAAAAAGAAGCGTTTGTTCAGGTGGTTTGTGTCCTTTCTCCTGTTCAACATGGTGCTCCTGCAGAAAAAACACTAATTCCTTGTTTCACAATCTGGGGAACATTTTCCGTTGCAAGGAATTGCTTTTGGAGCAGACTTCCAGTGGAGCCCCATAACTGTGAAGATCTGTGAGGAGGGCAATCTTGCACTGTAGGGTCTTCAGGTTTGGTTGTGACACTGGATTTACACCTTTTAAAGCACAAAGAGACCGCAGGGACACACTTACAGCCTGCTGTATAAAATCAGCATGCTGTAGGTCCTAATGCTTTACTACTAGACCTAGATAATTCAATTCAAGCTTTAATATCCACCTGGGGAAATTTGTTTTATGGCAAAGTTGTATTGTTGTATCAGACAAGGAAGACAAACACTAGCAACAGAGACGACAGTACTGTAGCTCCTAGTTTTTGCAGGTTGTAAGTCACAGTTATTGGATGAAGTACCACTGTGATGTGCAACAGCAGATTTAATGCCACAGAAGGACAATCAAGGAACAGAATCACTTTAGTTTCAAACAGAGGAGCCCCCTTCCGGAACAACAGTGAAACAAGTAGCTGACTTATTTAGCTTATGCTTTGATCATAAACAATTACATTAGCACCCATTTATAGAGCTGGGCACCAGCGCTGCAGTCGGCAACGCTCACCAATGCACCACCCTGCCATCCAAAAACCTTTACCTGCAGTACGTGACCTGAATGTAGAAGAGTCTTTGTGTGCTTCTTTGGGAACAACATCCCTTGGTTTTACCATTATAGTTAATCATCAAATCATTTTAATTTGACACGTAAAACCCCTAGTGTGTAAAACTCTTGGGCAGTAGGACGAGTTCAGTCTTGGCAAACGAGTGTAGGGGCGGTAAAGATGGCTGCCCCTTCCAGGCCTGCACATGGAGCTGTTCATCCAGCAGACGGAGTACGTGAAGGACATCACCCACTCCGCAGGGATCCGGCTGCTGATCCACGACCACTCGGCCACGCCCTTCCCCGAGGACGAGGGCGTGAACATCCCTCCCGGCACGGAGACGGACATCGGCATGATGAAGGTGAGGCCCAGCTGAAGGAGAACGGGGACGTGGATGTTCAGCAGCAGGGCTCCTGCGTGGCTGTGCTGGAGAGGCGCTGCCCGTGGGGGGGGGGGTCTCTGCCCGTGGGGGGGTGTCTCTGCCCGTGGGGGGGGGTCTCTGCCCGTGGGGCGCGTGCTGTCCACGGGGGTGTCTGGGCTTTGCCTGTGCAGACCTCATCTGCAGCGACAGCATGACACTCAGAAAGGGTATCATGGGAGTAGCTGATGGTGTTGTTCTCACCTGTGAATGAGCTGATAAAGAGTTAAGCTACAGGGAAAGATCAGTTTGAACCAGTGTGTTTGTAGGTGACACACGTACAGGTGATTGTGTGTGAGGCCTGTCCTGGGTGCAGAAATCCATTGCAAAATCAATCGCTGCTTGACTGGGATGTAAATCAACAGGGATATGCAGGGATCGGGATTTTAAAGCCATGTTCTAGAACAGTGGTTCTCGATCTTTGAAACAATGAGCCACAGCCTTGGTGTACGGGCTAATCATTTTATTTAAACATTTTTAAATGACTTAATTTCACCTGCTATCTGTGAACTTAACCTTACGTCAACAACAAATCATTTTGACTTTAAGAAATATTGAAACAGATTGAAGTTAGTCTGATCCAAATTCTCATCTGAACTTTAGTTTAAGAGTCCACCTCAAACATAGAAATGTGAGCTCTGATGCTGCATATTTGCCGCAGGTTTTAGATTTCTCAGCTCTGTGGAAGAAAGAGCACAATATAAGTCCCTTTCAGCATCAGGTCTGGTCTGTTGTGGTGCTTGTTTTTGATCACCAGAACTGCAGAAAATCCAGCTTTGTACAGTTAGGAGGATGTTAATGGGTCAAGGCCATTCAGAGCTGGCATTAAGGTATCAAATTAAAGGGAAAAAATGCAGAGTAAAGCATTAAGTTAAATGATGGTGAATTTGCTGGTTAGTAGCGAATGCAACTCAGTGACTGGAGCACAGAATAGCTGGAGAAGATAGGTTGGAACGCAAATCTTGCGTTTCTACTCCTAAATTACGGTAAAAAACATTGCATTTAATGTAAATGTAAAATACAAGGAGGTTGTATGTTTGGGGATTGCATAATTGTTTTTTTAAAGTTGTTAACTGTTTATTAACGAAGTGGTGAACGGCGTTTGTCCGGGCCCTGTCGCCAGGTCGAGATTCAGAGGCTGAAGTCCCCATTCGGAAGCCACTGCACGGATGGGGAGGGATTCCGAAATTACTACCACGACTTGTATGGATCAAGATATACCAGAGAGGTAACGGGGCCTTTTTTCCCCCGTGTCTGGGAAAAGTCCTTTGATGTCAGAACCACGTCCAACAGCCTGCTGTTCACTATTGGTTTGAGCTAAGATTGAAAGTCAGAATGATCAAATACATTAATTGATATTCTAGAAGAATTTGACACATTTTGAATGAAGCCCCAAATTGTGAAAGGTTGGAACAGTCGCCATGTTGTCGAGAGGTGAATTGAATCGCGACGTGATGCGGCCCTTCCTGCTCACTAGTCCCTGTAACGACGTACGAGCGAATAAGTACAGGTTGTGCAGCAGACATTTCACAGCAGAAATGTTGCAATGTGATCTGCGTGCAGAGGTAACAAGTTAGTTCCATTTACTGGCAAAACCGTCTCGAAATCGAAAGCAATATTTCTATCGCGTTAAGAGCGATGGATACACAAGCCTGCTGGTTTACAGTGTAATGGAGCTGCTTCACACGACCAGAAGTTTTGTTGCCTCATTCTGAGTTGCAGAACATGGCACTGCGCACAGCTGGAGATTTAGTCTATTTTGTGATGTAAATTGGAGGTTTTACAAGATATCGTGTACATTTTACTTTTTATTGCGGTTTGAAATGCTCTATATACAAATAGCCTTGCAGCTCCCCTTTTAAAGAGAAACAACTCTGGCTCCAGCAGGTATCTGAGTATAGCGTTAAACTCCACTTCGAAGCTGCGTCTTGCTTCTACACACACCTCGTCTCTCCGCTTTGTTTCTCCTCGTGTCTTTGCCAGTCCTGTAAGCGGACGTGTGCCCAGCAGACCATCATGGAGAACTGCGGGTGCAGTCACTGGGAGTTTGCTGTGCCTCCAGGGTCCCACTACCCCAAATGCAATCTGAGTGCTGCAGGAATCAGTAAGCATCAGCGCAAGCACGGGGCAAGAGCTGCTGCAACTAATCATTTCTTACCAGTTGATCAATTGATGACGGACAGGCACTGTACCACACATGCCCACCTGGTCAAGTCCAGTGGTTACATGTCAGGCAGTACACCTGACTGATGGCAGTTCTGACCTCATAAATTGCTACAGTGCTGATACCAATTACAAACTTTTAAGAGCTGCTAAAATCTTCAGAAATGGCCTAGATTAAAATAAAAAAAACAAGATCAATTAGCTGGTGATTAAGAACTCAGCCTGAGCAGAAACCAGAAGAGAGAGTTCGTCCACGACTGGGGTTAGAAAATGCTCCAGAACACTTTCCAGCACTGGTTTTCCCCCCCATTTGTTTTCCCAGTTTCACTGGAAACAGATTGCTCTGTTAGCCCAGCCCCTGGGTGCTGCAGGTCTTGATATGTTGCTGACCTGTGTATTTTCTCTTTTCACATTACTGTAGGTGAATGTTTGGAACTGTATGAATACAAGTTTGCTCATGACATGCTGCCTTGTAACTGCCCTCTACAGTGCAAGTAAGTGTATTGTTTTAAAGATGAACGATCGGCAATTTCATATTTCATATGTGAGAGGCAATGGGGTTTATAAAGATATTGACATTACTCAGGCCTTTCAGACACAGACTGTCTCTAGACATGCATCATCTGGTTCCTTCAGCTACATTGCTAGAGGATTCAGTTCAGTTTTTTCCTCCTCCAATGACAGACAGGTGCAATGTTCCAGAACCCACCTAAGGACTTTTATGTTTTCGTAAAGACGTTTTGGCAAGATTTTGAAAGGTGGAAGGGAGGGGGACCAAACTGATATGAAACTAAACTATACCAGAATGAGCGACTGTTCCCTCTGTCTTGTGTTTCTCTTCCTGGCACAGTTCTGTTAATCTGACAATGAACACACTCTTGGTTTCCTGACTCTCTCTCTCTCAGCTTCCTGTAGGGAGTGGTACAGTACATGTGGACTCCCTTGAGACCCGTGAAGAAGTCAGTCTGCAATAATACCTTTCACATAGCTAGAAAGTCAAACTTACTGAACCAGCACCCCGTCTCTCACACTAATAGACGTCTGATAGCTCTTCAGATTCTCAGAAATAAAGGAAATGTTTTTAAATCAGCACATAAAATGCAAGACCTGTTGAGCTGCTGTATGGAATGTTTCAGTTGGTTTGAGAAACAGGCAATTAGAGGACGCTGATTCAGTCAACTGCCACTTGAAAACATTTGCAGCCCATTCCCTTGTTATCTGCCATCTTTGAGTTTCCCCCCCAGAAAATGACTGGAAGTGTCTTGATTCTCTAACCTTGGGTTAACAGCACACACCCTGGGGGTACGAGATGTCCCTTCTGGGGGTGCAAGGCATACCAGGGTTTTTTCAAAAACTTCAATCGTCAAAAACACAAATTCATTGATCAGGGTTGCGAGAACGAAAGGGGTGCAGTTGGTGGAAAAAAGAATCACTGCTCTGCAGTCCGGCACCCCTTTCCAGATTCTCTACAAACTGGTTTCAGAATGAAAGTAGTTATATAGCCAGACATACAGAATACTCCACATCTTCCCAAGCCCTGAAATTTAGGGACGTTCTGCTTTTGGAAGGTTAACACTAACCTCTCTGTGATAAAGCATCCATCTTCCCGATTAACACGTAAAGCAGGGAGTCACTGAACCCCTCTGAGCTTATTGAAGGCTGTGAAGTTTCACACATCTGGAAATCTATTTTGGAAAATGGCACCTTCTGTGCCAGTAGTCTATGACGTTAACCTATTTCTCAAACTGCTGAGACAGACGAATTTCTGTTTGCCTTCCCTGTGCTTGTTTTAACTGAATGAGGGATCGGGTTGTTTGCTCTGGAGAACCAGTTTCCTGTCAAAAAGACAGCCAGTTTCGCCTTCCATCTGAAAAATAACTGCCTGGCAAAACTAAAACTTTATACAGAACACGCGCACCTTTCTCCTCAACACCACCATGAGCTTCAACAGACCTGACAGTGAATTTGAAACAAAATGACTTTTAAAGTTTTTTTTCTTCAGTGCAGAATTTGCTCTATTTTTTTCTTCTCGCAAAATATTAAAGTCTGGGAAATTTAAGTCCATTTTCTCTTCCGTGCCTTTGCTGTTACTTGCTAGATTAGTTCGAATCAATTTAACAACTACTAGTAGAAAATAGTAAAACTTGGGTGCTGCATACCACCCTATAATTCAGGGTGGTATAATTAACCCTATAATTCAGAGTACTTTATTGGTGTTGCCAGTAATTAAACAAACTCCAGTAAACAATTATCACAGTAAACACCAATGACCTCACACATTTACACATGTAATTATACAGATTTTTATCACTTATGTGGATGCATAATGTGCAGTGTTTTGTGCAATAGAGTGTTGTTTTATTTTCTGTCATGTCCTGAATATGGGCGAGGCAACTTTGTACAGCCCTACGGCCAGACCAGTTGCTTGCAGACCGTTAATCTGTGCATTTGCTTTGTTTCAGAGAAGAGATATACCAGCTCACAGTCTCAGGATCACAGTGGCCAGCAACAGCGTTCTTGGTAATTAACCTGCCAACATGTCTTTGGATTGGGTGTGGAGACAAGAAATCACTGTCCTTTTGAACCTTCTCTGCTTGTTATTCCAGGAGAAGTTCTCCAGTGACCTGAGAGAAATGGGAGGCCAGCTGGGAACTATAGCTGACAACCCCCAACTTATACGGTCTGTATCCCCCCCCGCCAGTGGACGACTGGTTTCGCTGCACTGGGACTTGTTCATTGTAAAGAGCCATCCACAGCACATCCTGTGTTGCATTAGAGTCTTTTGCCTCCTAAATAAAATGCTAAAGTTAGTTTCCAGATTTTTTGAAAATATCATTTTAAATGCATCTGTTATCACAAACTCATCCCTGGAACTACACCCTGGGTCGGTCACCAGGGCAATTCAGATACCCCAGTGAACCCAGGCAGCAGGGCATTAAGAGGAGGTAGGGCATCAGAGCACTCGGCACAGGCCCACACAAACGCAGGGGCGAACATGCAGACTCCACACAGAAGGCACCCCTGGTTGGACTGAGACCCAGGCCCCAGGAGCTGTGAGCCAGTAGTGCCAAGTGCTCCAGCGTCACACCACCCGATTGTAACTTCACACAAACATGGGAACTAAAGTTCAGCATAAAAGAACATGAACTTGACGGAGTGAACAAGTGCCTTTAGTCAGGAGCCGCTTCTTAAAACCGTCCAGGCTCACCATTTTCTCTACACCCAGCTTCAGTGTGTTGAACATTGAGGCCTCTTCTCTGTCTTTGCCTGCAGAGATAATTTAGTCAAAGTCGTTGTCTACTACCAGCAGCTGAACTATGAGAGGATAGTGGAGGAGCCCTCCATTACTGTAAGTACTCTGCTCATCGGCTGCAGTGCATCAGCCACACCGCAGTCAGCACAAATCCGCATCACGGCCTTCTAAATCATATTAATCCATTTATATTTTAGCTGTGCATACTTGATGAAACACCTAGCACCATCATAGCACCTTTTGAAAGTAGGGGATGGGCTATGTTTTTTTAAGAGGACAGCAGACCCCCAGTGTATCAGAAAAATACAAGGGGGTTTGTTATTTTCTGAATATCAATAAAATCATGAATGACGTGTTATCTGCCCCAACACCGTTATAGGATAAGAAATACATGCTTCCTGGACCTTTTGACTTTTTTTAACATTTGCGATCAACTCAGTCCATGAAAACTGTACTCCTGAAGTTCTTATGATACAAAATGTGAGCTCTTTATTTCCTGTGTCGTAAATTACGCTGTATAAAACTGGCTAAAGCATGCGAAACACGAACAGCAGCATTGATACTCATTAAATTTAAACCTATGCAGTAATTGTTTTTACCTCAGTTTTATTACCTGTGTATTTCACTGTTGCTGTGGGGAGTCGGGGGTTATTTCCAGCCTCCTGCGGATGTGTGTGTGTGTTTGAGTTCCCGGTGCTGACACGCTGCTCTGCTTCCTTCGCCCTGTTTGGGCCTGAAGGAGATCGACCTGATCTCCAACATGGGAGGCCTGGTCGGGCTGTGGGTGGGCTTCTCTGTCTGCACGCTGGCCGAGTTCTTCGAGCTCTTCGTCGACGTCCTGATCTTCGCCGTCCGCCGGTGCCTCAGAGGGTCCGTGCCCGACACCTACCAGAACCCCTACTGTGAGAAGGGCAGCCCCATATACATCGGACACAAAACCACCAGCATGTAGGAGCCACTGGGAGAGAGGCGGCGTGCTCGGGCTTGTGGAATCAAAGTACTGGAGAGACTGGCTCGGACTGCCGACACGGAATACATAAAGGAAAACTCTCCGGCAGAGGCCATTTCCGTAATCAAAACAGTTTCAAAGACATCAATGGATAAATGTTTTACCCGGCCCTTTTAGATTATGTCTGCGACGTGGTATCCAGATTTTTTGCCATTTAGAACACTGTATGGGTTTAAGAGGCGTTTAGACACCTTATTGCAGTTCTTGAGTTTCAGTCAGTATTGTTAGTAGGAGGAAAGCACAGTGCGTGAGGGATGGGAAATAGAGTCTTCTGTACAGTTTTCACCGTTGTACTCGATATCCCATCATGCATGTTTCCAGCAAAGCCTGGGGGAACCTGTCTCCCCAGGGGTGTCTGTGTGCGAACACTGAAGAGGTGCTGGGTAATTCCTTTAAGGGGGTCAAGTTCGCGAGGTTTGTGCCCATTGCTGGCATCCACTCAGCACAATGTGCCCAAGCGCTCACGCACATGTTCAGAGATGCTGGCCTACAGCACGGTCGATTCGAGTTGGTCTCCCTCCCACTCGCTGCTGCAGCGGGGCGTCCTTGGCTCTGGAGCATCGATAAGTCTTGGCCCTCTTTAAATACCCCACACACACTTCATGTGCACCTGTACACTCCTCGCTTCCTTGCCTTCATTGTCTACAGCACTACCAGTCATTGCCAATGTGTGACACAGTGCAGTTACCCCCACACTGCTTGTCCACTGGAAATGGCCCGTCTACCTGAAATATCAGTTTGTGACATGCACGGGCAGGGCATTTTCTTTTATACAACAGAAATTCAGAACACTACCCAGTTCGCCTTATTTGCTTACATTTTGTCAGAGCTTACGTGAAAATTGAGGAAAATAATGAATGAAGAAGACTGAAGGTGATTATGATCGTGCCTTTAAACTAACAGAGGGGCATTGAAAACTGGTTTGAGCTGGAGGACTGACTGCATATTAATAACTCTCGCTTCTGCAATATTTAAATTGTAGGGAGTGTCTTGGAAATGACAGATTTAAAACATTTAACTTATTTCTTGATGTAAATAAAATTACAGGTCCATCTTAAGTAGTGTGCACTAGTCCAGTGTGGCCTAACAGCCTGGTACAATGGAGTGTCAATCTGCTGTGTTCAAGCACTTGCTTCACATTAGATCAGACACCTAACCTCCTTAGAATCTCTGTAAACATTTATGAGTGCATTGTAGATGCCAGAACATTAAAGTGTTTCATGTTGTGTCCTCTATCTATGGTTTATTATCTTTAAACTTCTATTTTTAAACTCCCAAATTGGAATTTAAATTTCTCATGTAACATATACAGATGGTGTTTATAATGAAGGACAGTGAGCGTCAGTTCGATTATCGTGGGCAGTTTTGTTCACCATGCTACAGAAAAGATATCGCTCTAGAGTTTGTAGGAAGGTCCCACACCGACAGGCTGAAGGAACTGAACCTGTTTTGTCTTGAACAGAGAAGACTATGAGGAGACGTGATACAAGGACTTCAGCATCCTGGCTCCTTCCTCAGAATGAACAGCAGAACACGAGCCACAGGGCCGCAGCGGAAACTAAACGGAAATGCATTTAAAAGGGAGAACAGGAGAGGCTTCTTTACGCAAAGGGTTGTGGGAGTGTGGAACAAGCTAGCCAGCCTTTCAAGAAATGGGCGAATGGGATACTTGAATCAGTTCAGTACCTAATGGGCTTGATCAAGAAATGGATTCTCTGGTGCTGTTCTCATGTTCTTTTAATGATGATGTGCTCTATAAAATGACGTTGGATAAACACTGGGTGAATGACAGAACATGTACAGTCCAGGCTTCATTAAAGTAAAACCAGCAAGGGGGGGATGTATATATTTCATTTAAGGATTAAAATGTTTAAACTGCTTTCTTGGGAGTGTAATTATTTTGCTATTCAAAAATAGATATTCATGTTTGTCCTTGTTGGATCTGAATAATATGTCTATAAAATGTTCCTGTAACTCTTCAGATAGTAGTACTGTCACTACAATAGAATATTAACAGAGCATTGCTGAGATCCTACAGGTGTGTCTGTTGTTAATTAATTTATTAATCATTTAAGTCATTCTACATTTCATCTAGATTATCCCCAGAATTGCAACCTGATGCATAACACGGTTCTGCTGTAATTGTAGATGCTGTTTCAGAATGATGTACCTTTCAATTAGCCAGAAGAACTGTAAAGTATACAATATGCTTAAGTGACGATCTCGCGTATCCTAGTTTTGGGTTGGGCGGTAGTGCATTTCATTTCTCAGTTTTAGAAAAACCTGTTTTCAGAACTGGACAAGTATTTACATGATCCATATTTATTCTCTCTCTCTCACAACGGGGTTTTAATAATATTTAAAAAAAAACGACGTGAAATCATTGTGAACGGCCGTGTCCGCGTTAAAGAAGTTACAATCCAGCCACAGGCACGGTCACGCTGCTGGCATTAATCCCAAGCTATCGCATCTTGCTTTGAAAGACTCCAGAGGGGGGAAGTTTTGTTTTTGTCTACGAGGGATTTTTCCCACGTAGGAAACAATGTGTGTAATTCCAGAAGTAAAACATCTCGAATTACTAACGCAAGAAGGGAACTAGTATGAGAAGGAAAACTCCAGCACCCGGGTCGCCCTCCCTCCGTCTGCCTCCTGACCGGCCCTGGAGACGCCGTCACAAGACTGCTCCTGGACTGCAGTCACGGGTTTCACTACAACTTGCAGCGAAGCAAGCTGCTCCGCCGACTGCCAGAGACATTTAGTAACAGGAAACGTGTTTGGTTTTTTTTCCCCTCTTCTCCGGGTGCACTTGAACCGCTGGTCTTGTGTAACCAAGCTCCTAGGAGTCACGCAAGAAGGATACAGTTAACTCAGCCCGCCGTATCTCTGCATGAGTGCCTCCGCACCATGATATCGGTGGAAGAAGCGAGGGCGCGCCTGGAGGCGGCCGGGCAGTCGCACCTCCTCCGGTTCTGGCCTGAGCTCTCCCCCGGGGAGCGACGCCGCTTTCTGGGCGAGCTGGCTCAGTTCGACCCGGCGCAGCTGCGCGGCCACTGCCGAGCCGCGGCGGAGGCGGCCCGCCGGGAGCCCAGCGCCCACGACCGGCTGGACCGGCGCCTGGAGCCGGTCCCGCCCGAATTCATAGGCGGCGTCGGGAGAAGCGACCCGGACACCCTGAAGGCATGGGAAGACGAAGGTAGGAGTGTTCGCGCTACATCACGTTTGCATCCAACTCTGCGTCCAGCACCTTTCTTTTTAATTTACGGGAGCAAGGCGGGGTATGACGCTTGTGGCGAATAAATAGTGGAATTAAAGTGAAAGCTGTATCCAAACTACATTATCTTTCATGGAATAGACTTACAGGTATGAGGGATGCTACAGTGCTCGATAGAGACCCGGTCCTGGAAGTCATGTGAAGCTGGTGCTCTGAACAGACTTCAACCCGACGCGCTATCTTGTAGCAAGAGCTGTGGTATTGTCGGCTTTGCTGCTCTCCCATCAGAGATCATGTATCATAAGCGAATAAAAAATAATCCAGTGTAAATATACTCTGCTTCATATTGATTTTTACGCAGAATGCACGCCATGCAATTCGCAGAAGTAACAGAATTTAAACAATTATACGATGTCGTTTCAAATATTATGAATGTAATAAATACAAATGTACTTAAGTTTGTTTTCTTATAGACTTTTCAGCTCCGTTGAACAGTCCATCGCGTCTCAACGCGGAGAAAGCCGTCGAGACATAAAAGTGTTTGAAAACGTTGTAAAAAAAACAACTATTATTTTTTTTTATATTAAATGGATTATCCTGACCGGATAATTTCTAAATACGTGAATAAGACGGAGAGCGGCCGGACCGATCAGGAATACTGCCTGGGTTTTGGGAGAGCACCATCTTTCTAAGACCATTTAAAAACTCGTGGAAGAATACCCGTCAAATTAGATTATTGGAACCCAAACTTTTATAGTAAACAAAAAATATTTCAACATTTAAATTCAGTGGCGGTTAGGCTCTGTGCATTTCCCCCCCGAAGGCCTGGAGATCCTCGGTGTTGCTTGACTCCTCACGGCGTGACCTCGGTGTCCCAGAGCCCCAGGAGAGAAGAAATCGCCCCTTTGTGTTCCCGACTACATTGCGTCCTTTCCGTGTGTGTGTGTGTGGGGAGGGGGAGAGGGAGAGTTTGTTCAAAATGTTTCACTATGTTTTGTTTTCTTATGCTATGTACTGTAGAGCTGTGAAAATCTAAAGCCTGCAGTTCAAGGGTTCACAGCGCCGCGCCTGGTCTCGCCGAGGTGAAGGTGACGTCTCTTGCCCTGTCCCCCTCCTGTCCAGGGTTCCTGCAGATTTCTCGCAGCCGGGTGGCCGTGCTGCTGCTGGC